AAAATGAATTGAAGATACTGACCATTAAATTAATAACTAAGTGTCACTGTGTGCCCTTATGGCCATAAATTTTAATAAACAGTGAAATTTCAAATCGAATATACAATTAAGAATGAAAAATGATGCATCCAAAATTTTGAATGAACAAAATGGGTACTTTTTAAAATATTAAAATATGTTTATTAATTAAGGAATTTATCGTTATTACTTTTTAAACGTTCAATTAGTATAAACATGTCTTTAATTAACAAATAAATGATAAAAATTCGATACGCATAATGGTTTTGTTTATTGATTAAATGTTATGTAATCAGTGTGTCGCAAAACGGTTATCTATTAGAATTTTTTGCGTTAATAGTAATAAAAAAGTTTTCGTTTTGCCTTAACAAAATAAGAAACAAAAAACATTTTTTTTATAAAGCTTATGTTAAGTCTTTATTAAACAAAAGATATAACATAGATAACAAATTTTTCTTGTAGGAGCATTGTACAGAAACTTTTACATTATCAGGATATTTACTCATTAGATAAGTAAATAACGAAACAGTATATTATGCAACATTTTATTTATTAATTTATTTATAAAACAAGTGCATTGCTTCACCAGGCAGGAAAATTTTCACCTGTTTCTCCATTGCTTTGAAGTGGTAAGTGTTTTCGTAAGTTTGCTCAAAATTAGTTTGTCNGAAAAATTATAATGTATTTTTGATATATTTTATTTTTTAATTCAATTGCATTATGAAAAGGCTAATGCTTTCTGAAAAGGGCTCAATATTTAGCTGTGGTTGTACTTTGAGCCCTCTTCAGCGATATAGTAGTACTCAGAATTGATTTTAAAGCTTAGTCTTTTATACAATTTGTGCCAATTCCCATTCTGTTATTCTAGTCCCTATTTTCAAACTATATTCATGTACTATTTTATGTTGTAGTTTGTTCAAAGTTGCCGTATATGTATACATATATCTTTAATGTGTAGAATGGGTGTTTTCGTAGTATCTTTAATGTGGGAGTAGAAATAATGGTGTAGTAAAAATATGAAGAGATTATTTTATCGTTAAATTTGTAATCTGTTGTTGTTTCAATGTTTCCATCAAAATAATTTGTTATTGGAACTTCATTGTTAAGTGTTCATTTTAAAAAAAGTAATAATAAATGTACTTGTAATGTTGTAATACGCATTTTCATTTTTCTGCCATAAAGATGTGTTTGGATATTAAAATAAAAACGATTTTTGGGTGTAACGTCCGTAATATTAATAAATAATTAACAATTAATAAAGAAACACATATTTAAATCTATGTAAGTCAACATTTTTAAAATATACATAGATAAATGCTTTCGAAAATCAACACATCATCTTACTGTTTATAATTACATTAATTAATAAGAGATTATGTCGATAAAGATAGATAATACTTCAAATGTAACAACGAAAAAATAGACCCAACGTTAAATAAATTATGGAGACTTAGGTTTGTTGTTCTTTTCAACATTATTCTTGATTTAATAAGACGGAAGCCTTGTTTACCAGGGCTACTTTTAAATGTGCCGGATGTTGTTCCCAAGGCTCGCCATCTATCTGAGCTGGGCAGGTTTTCTTAATATTAACCTAGTATAACAGTTCTTTTCACGAAAAGTTGCTAGTTATAAAAGTATAACAGATATAGCATTGTTTACCTCTACAGTCCTTGCCTGCCCCAACACGTGAGGTGTAGACAATCCAACTTGTAACTGGGCGATATGGAATGACGAATAAATACCAACAACTTCCAAAATACCATCGTTATACGACTGAGGGTTTTCTGACTCACATAAACCTATGTCAACAAGAAAAAAGAACGCATAGATAATGTAAAATGTCTGTAACATTTTTATTTAAAGTCAGATCTTAGATACGCTTGCATAATTTTTAAACAAAAGCCTGGCACAAATTAATTATCGAATAATTACCCCACAAGTCAACTCCTGCACCCCACGAGGGTATGTTGAGTATTACTATAGACTCTAATTCCGGAAGATCAATGTATTTCCCATCTAAATAGAGATCTAAACGTTTTTCTATATTCTTACAGTCAGCTGTTACCACCTGTTGTGTTCCAAAACAGAGATACAGCAACTAAAAGGCAAACAGAAATTAAACATATGAAATATTAACTTGGTTTATATGTAAAATGAACCTTGTTGAATATACGACTGCCAAAGATGTAAAATTTGCTGTCGCGTGTTTTGTGAAAGTCCAGGGCCACCTGGGCATCCACCCCAATACTAAAATAGTTGTACATGTACAGAGTTTTCGAGGGAATCCTTATACCTAAATTACTGAGATTACGATAAGGAGTTACATCGATTCGCCACCTTTAGAAAAATATAATTTTTAATACTCTTTTTGCTGCACTGCCTGTATATAAATACCTATCAATGTCAATAACTTCAGCCCTGTCAATTTTTTTAAGCAAATCCGGTACGTTTACTTCAGAGGGATTTTCCCTGCCCCATCCCAACACCCTTGACAAATCATTACCTGTTCCAAGTGGTAATATTGCAATAGGAGGTTCAGGCTAGAAAAAACATATTAAATAAGGGCAACACGGCAATAAGGATCATAATGATAGAATTGCATACATCCAAGTCCATTCTGAACGCTGTGGTAAGTATCCAGGCTACTGTGCCATCTCCTCCAGCTCCCAGAAGCTTCAAACGCTTGGGTGATGTAAGTACACACCATTGAAGTGCTGCAGCTGGGGGTCTATCAGCCAAGTCAAGCACCTGTGCAGGATTCAAATATCTTCTGAATTCCGACAGCACTGTTGCTCCGTCATTGTTGCCTGATTTCCTATTTCCTTGAAAAGGAAGACTTATTTATGTATAATAATTGTAATAGCGGTATATACCAGCAACGATTAATGGACACCAGTCTTTCCATCCAGGATTTTTGACTCCTCTAAGCAGCAAATGACGATGGATGCTGCTCTTTAATCTTGCTACTTGGACACACCAGGGGGGCACTATCATATTACGAAAAGGACCAAAATCACATTCCTGTAATTAACAATAACTGAAGCATTTGAATGAACAATTGGGTATTTTTATACCTTATTTATTTTTTCTAAACATTCTGTATGAACTGTTCTGTGACACCAGCAGCATTGGTAGTCTACTAAACCTGGTTCTACAGAACACTCTTCTTTGCATACTACACACATTGCACCAAGAGATAAGTTACCTGGAAAAAACAGAAATAACACTGTATAAAACTTTAACAAACTAATATCAGACGTTAATAGACCTTTTATCCAATGATGGAAATGCTCTTCACTCTTACTTGTAACCACTTTACATTTTAGCTCTTTATTTGCTGTTTTGACACAATCCGGATCAGAAAAAATACCACAGCAGTCACAATAAACCCCAATACCGTTAAGAAGAAGTGCCTCACAAACAGAGCAGTACCAGGGCTAGTTAAAAACACTTTACCATTTTTCAACATTAATACACAGCACAAGTAGCAGTAAGTTGCTAATTATTTACACTTCTACCATGAATTATTATAACACATAAAGCAAATACTTTTGATATTGAGTTGTCTTACCTTAGAAGAAATTTGTATAGTTTTCCAGTTATGCTTTTTTGTAACATCCCTGATTGGAATTACAGAATCAGTACTTAACCATTTGAAAACATAATAACTAGCAACACACAAAAGGATTGTCGACACAATTGGAATGAACACACCATAAGATGGAAATATTGAAGGTCCTAGGCTGATCATAATGTACGTAGGATATCCTCCAGCATTTGGTTTGTCTTTTATAAGTTTACTGAAAATAGCCATTAATTCGAGCTACAACTTTAACCGCTTCCTTGCAATTATTTCGATAAGTTCTTGTCATTTTGCACATGTTTTGTTAACGAGACATGGTTCTATTTTTAAACGGTTATCACAGGAAACAATATTAAATAAATGTAGAATAATTATATCTACTTTACTTGTTAAAAACACGTTTTTGTTGTTAATTACTGTCAAAATAATGATTTTGAAACCTTGAAATGTCAAATTACGTCAATGTTATACAGGGTGATAAAAGTTTTGTGGCAGTAGCTTGACTGTTAATGTGACAAAGACTATATAGATGGTGCTACGTATGTCAAATACGTATTTGGGGCCTTTTTAAATCTTTTTTTATTATACGAGAAAATATNTTAATTTATTTATAAAACAAGTGCATTGCTTCACCAGGCAGGAAAATTTTCACCTGTTTCTCCATTGCTTTGAAGTGGTAAGTGTTTTCGTAAGTTTGCTCAAAATTAGTTTGTCGTTTAAATTTCAAAATGCCTGTCACATCCCTACTGAAGCCGGTCTTAAGGGGCAAAACGTCAAAATATACATCAGACATGTGACACAATAAATTACCTAATATTCCGTCAGTTTTATCAGAAATGTGCGTCAAAGCTATCAGTGTTACAGGGAGGTTCGAACAACAGTTTAAAAAAGTGACCAAATCTTTTAGACTCACCCCCGTATCTAACAAATGACTAATATCGTCAATTATTACATAAACTTTTTCGTTACTGTTTTTTTTTAAGTTTTGTACGTCAGATTTTATTTGTAGAAATAGGTCCTTTGCCACCGAATTTCCGAAAAAATCAATATCATTTTCTGCCCCAGTTAAATTGTCAACGATTGCTTTCATTGGTTCAATGGCTTTTATACATCCCGTTTTTATCTTGGACATTATATCGAAACCTAATCTTTTCCCGATGCTTTGATAATGAGTTAAAGTGTGATGCAAATTAACCAAACACAATTTATTTGAAGATTCACTCAATATCCACTTTATAAAATACGCAAGTATAAAATTACCGTCAGCCCACGAATGTTCACACACAGCAATAATCTTATCAGTTTTGTTAATAACAAACGTAGAAAATAGGACATTGTCCTCTGCTAGAATTCTTTGTTGATCCATTTTTTTATGAATCTGTAAAGAAATACACAATGGCTTTAAATTTGAGTGCAGTTGCGCCACGAATTAATTAATTGCTGAAGCGATAGTGCAGTGCATTTGGGCTATTTCCTCATTATCATGTTTGAGTGAGTCAAACCTCAATTGAAATGTATGGAATAAATAGAAAAGTAATTACTATTATACTAAACAGTGATAAATGAAGTATTACGTGCTATTACATAACAAACAAAATTTACAGGTTATTAAATGTAAAATTCAACAACTACCTGCTTCAGTAGATCCACAGGATGGGTCAAGGTCACCTCGTGATAAGAAGTTTTTGTAACGATCAGAGTGGTAAAGAATACTTTTAACCTTGTTTAATATTGCAATTGAACTTTAATCACATTTTAAATAGCGAAACCGAAAGTATAAAACTACTTTTTTTTGAGAACAGTGATTGTTTAAATAACCGGTTGCACGAATTACACGTAAGTTTTTAGAACTGCACAAGATCGAATGTTTCTAACTAATTGAAGTAGTTATTATTCTCGATATGATTAACGTACACGTTATTTATAATTATTAATTAACATAGGTCATAGTATAGGCAAGTATAGGTTAATCCAAATTGTTGGTTTGTAAACATTGCAGTTTATAGATTTAGACGTTCGTGGTAAGGCAGAGTGCTCTTTTACTTGTGCTTCATTTTGCTGTTTTCCCGCTAGGCGCCTCTGGTATGGCGGCAACATTTTCAAAAGTTTAATTTTTCGCGGTTAATCAAAATGTTACTGACAAGACGTTTAATTAGAACTTATTTTTGGTCGTAAAAAAGACAATTATGCCTTACTTGGCAGTTGGAGTTGTAAGTAAGTGTTACACGTTGTGTAGCAAGAATCAGACTGTATTAAGCTATTAGTAAATTTGAATTAGGTATTACTTTTTGCCCATAGTAATATACAAATAGAACAAATAACGTAGAGTATTCTATTTATTTAGTTAGTAAGAATTATTGTGACCAGTTGAAGAAAGTTGTCTCTCTAGAATTTACTTTTGTAAGATTTACTGATTAAATGAAGAATAAAAAAATATTTTTTAGGGGTTTAAAGTATTCTTATCAGATTAAAGAGCAGTGAAAATGACATTAGAATTTAAAAGCGCAAGAAAATCGCGATGGTATTTTGGAGGTTTAGCATCGGCTGGGGCTGCGTGTGTAACCCATCCGTTAGACTTATTAAAAGTAACTATTCAGACCCAACAAGATAAATCGATCACCATGTTAGGAGTTGCCACCAATATTGTCAAAAGGGAGGGTAAATATTTATTTATTTTAAACCACACAATTGTGTAATTTATGTGTTATCCAAATAATTTGCTTTTGTATTTTGTAATTCTTGTAGGTGGTATATAATTGAAATTTCAGGTGTTCGAGCTCTTTATAATGGAATTTCGGCATCTTTAATGCGACAATTAACGTATTCAACCACTCGTTTTGGAATTTACGAAGTTACGAAGCAGACGCTTGAGGTGGCTGGGGTAGATTCAGGATTTGGGACTAAAGTTTTAATGGCAGGGGTTGCTGGAGCTGCTGGCGGTCTCGTCGGTACTCCTGCTGATATGGTTAATGTAAGGATGCAAAACGATGTTAAACTTCCTCCAGAAAAGCGTAGAAAGTAAGTAGTAAACTCAAACCATAATTTCGCCAAAGAGGCATTTCTAAGATGGTGATTAATTGATATCTTATTTAATTTTTTAGTTATATGAATGCTTTTGATGGTTTGTTTAAAGTTTATAAAGAAGAGGGGGCAAAAAGATTGTTTTCTGGAGCAGGCGCAGCTACCAGCAGAGCAATATTCATGACAATAGGGCAGCTATCATTTTACGATCAAATTAAGAAGAACCTTTTAACAAGTGGACTGTTTAAAGATAATTTATTCACCCATTTTGTGTCTAGTCTATCTGCAGTAAGCAATTTTATTTGTTTTCGGAATATGTACTACCCTTTTTCGACTTTATGATGAATTTGTAATTTTTGAATTTATTATTTTTATCAGGGTGCCATAGCCACAACACTCACACAGCCCCTTGACGTGTTAAAGACAAGGGCTATGAATGCTAAGCCGGGGGAATTTTCGGGTATGTGGGATCTAATTGTGTACACTGCCAAATTGGGGCCTATGGGGTTCTTTAAGGGCTACATACCGGCGTTCCTAAGATTAGGACCACATACTATCCTAACATTTGTGTTCCTAGAACAACTTCGACTAAACTTTGGTATAGATGTGTAATTGCCATTTTTTTAATTTTATTTTTAATTTTAAGTAAATATTTAAAAATAGGAAATTTTATTTTTGTAACAACTGTTGTTATTCCTATTTCTTTTTTAGTTTAATTTTTTTAAAAGATGTGACAATTTATTGTAAATGTACAACTGTACATTGATGTATTGTGTTTTGTGAAGTTATTTAATGTTTTAATTATTCCCTCTACATGACGAAATAAGTTGAGAAATTAGTTAAAATATGTTTTGTTATTCAAATTTAAAGCTGGTCTTTGTTTGATTAATTCATTCCATTATGGATCAACAAAAAAATAAGTAGATTTGAATATTTTATACATTCCGGATGTAGGACCATACTTTTTGTGACATGAAAATGGTGCCTTGTTGTTATTTAGGTTTATTATATTGACAAATTTCCGAAGAGGTCAAAAGCTTGGATACCTTTAAACGACAAGAAAAATTATAATGTATTTTTGATATATTTTATTTTTTAATTCAATTGCATTATGAAAAGGCTAATGCTTTCTGAAAAGGGCTCAATATTTAGCTGTGGTTGTACTTTGAGCCCTCTTCAGCGATATAGTAGTACTCAGAATTGATTTTAAAGCTTAGTCTTTTATACAATTTGTGCCAATTCCCATTCTGTTATTCTAGTCCCTATTTTCAAACTATATTCATGTACTATTTTATGTTGTAGTTTGTTCAAAGTTGCCG